ATATTCTGAGTTGTAATCTGAGAGATATTCTGAGTAAGAAACTGAGAGGAATTCCGATAAATCATTTGAGGCAACTTTTGAGCCAGAGGCAACATTTGAGGCATAGTTTGAGCCAGAGGCAACATTTGAGGCATAGTTTGAGCCAGAGGCAACATTTGAGGCATAGTTTGAGCCAGAGGCAACATTTGAGGCATAGTTTGAGCCAGAGGCATAGTTTGAGTCAAAGTGGTCTCAGGGAGAGCCGCAGAGACCACTGTCACAGGGGTGGTAGAGATCACCCCTGCCGGTACAGATGTCATGGGTGTTAGGACGTGGCCTACACCCAGAGGCACAGACAGTTGGACGTGGCCAACATCTGTGGGGTACTTGTCACCCACATCTGCCTTACATGCGTTCTTCTTTACCGCAGCTTTCTTCCAGCTCTTCTTCCTAGGCATTCTGTGATCTACAATATAACAATGTTATAATCTATACTACATAATAAAGATCAGCATAGCCTACACTTGATACTAGCACACATTCTCAAATTAATAATGCTGCCATCACTGTAAAATGCAGATACTTTTAAAATTATATAATTATTTTAAGTTTGTAGCCAAATCAAATTTAAGAAAGCAGAAAATTGAAAAAATTTAAAACCTGAAGTTAAATTCAAAATTACACCCAAAACATATGACAACATTCAGTTAAAGAGGTCACTCGTGTGGCCCAGTGGTAGGAGCGTCTGCTCTAGAGACACAAACTAAGGAGTTTATCCTTAGTTAGCTGGTTTGAATCCCACTGTGGAATGTGGAGACTGGTCCTTTGGAAAAGACCATATAAACAGAGGTCCTGTGTCTCTGTAAGTGCTGGCATGAAAAAGATCCCTCACTGCTCAATGGTCCTGAGTGCAAGTATAGGACAAAATTTGTAGATCTCCACCTGCAAGTGGTGGCGTCTCATATGAGTGAAAAATTCAGAGGGTTGTTAAATGACATACAATCAATCTTTTTAAGAGAGATGCAAGTTACATGCAATTTGTAAACCATTTTCACACAAGACTTACCTTGAACATGTGTCACACATTTCCAGAAATTATATGTACCATATAAATGTATACAACATTTAGTGGCACAGCTTTTGTGCAATAATTCAAATTACATTCCTAAAGATTGTGGTATTTCATAAATTTTTATAGAACTTTTTTTTTATCATGTTTATCGAGGACTGTTTGTACATAGGTATTGTATTTAACCTGCAATTAAAATTATAAAAGCAACCCTTTAAGCCATTTCCAAGTTTTTCTGTTATGCCACCACATGCATCTTTATTTTTCATACCTCTTATCACAAATTACAAAGTCAGGATTCGTAAAATTTGCTATTTGGTCAAAACCTTTTAATATTCAGCCATTTCTTCTAAATATTCCTCTATGTGTTATGATTTGGTAGCATTTAATACTGTAAATCACTTTTTATTCGCGAGAACTTTATTTTCGCGTAATTACGCGAGACAGTGTTCTCGCGAAAATTTAATTCTCGCGTATAATAGTATTTCTTAAGAACATATAGAGCAATGACCACAGTTCACAAAAATTTTGTCTCGCTAATCAAGAGTCAATGACTATCTCACGAAAATAAGGTGTCGTGAAAATTTAGTGATCTACAGTACCTTCAAATTTCTTTTCAAATAAAATCAATTCCTTTGAATAACATCACTTTTATCATGATAAATCTGTAAGTTTTCGGAGTATATAGTTTTTGAGTCCACAAAAACTTAAACCTCGCCTCCACAACCTTTGAGTGGCTCCTCACCCACTATGGCTTTCACATTTCAAAGGTGTATTTCTTGTGACAACACCTTTCTTTGAACACCACCAAATTTGACCTCTTGACCTTGGAATTTGACCTACTTTTTACTAAAAAAAAATACAACACTTTAATCTTGGTCTTAACTTTTGAACATATGGAGCTAGAATAAAGAGTGTGCTAAAATTTACAGGTCCCATATGGGTTACAATTAAAGCTAAGAAACATATAAAGAACTTGTTAAATGCTAAGTAAACCATTTTATGAATACTTGATGTCTGTCAAAAATGATCAACTCTTCTAGGTCAAGAATGGTTAAAACAATATCAAGGCCTTAAATGAACACTAAATTTTGGATAAAATTTTATACTGCCAAGATTGAATATGGGGTCAGACTAATAACAGGAAATGGACAATACTGCAAGCCAGTGCAAGGTTTTACTAAACAAAAGAAAACATTTTTAGTCTAGACTATCTGTAAATGTAATTAGAGCCAGCGCAGCAAAGGTTGCGAAGTGAGCTGAATAGACTAACGCATAAGAACAGAGGAAATTCGGAATGAAATCTGTACATATGTCAAGCAAATTTTGTTGTGACACCTTCCCAGAAATCCTTTGCTACCCAATACCCTTTGCTCAAATAAATAACATAAGGCATAAAAGACTTTCAGTATGTAGAAATCTTAAAAAGAAACAAAAAATAACTCTGCAATATCTTTCGACAAAAATTGCACTAGGACTATTAGTCTCAACTAGACACTTGGCTGTTTCCGTTAACCCTGACGATCTCTCGTGTGACCTAATAATCTAGATATCTCATGCGACTTGACGTTTGAAGTGGCAGATCAACATATCAGGTGTATTTTTTAAGGTACAAGTGCGCTCGCCTAAACGGTCACACCGTAAAACATATTAATGAAAAATACAAGTCTTTAAAATATTTCTGGATAACTACTTTTAAACCTTGTAATCCCAAGAAATAAATACTATTTAGTCATTCTAATGAAAGATTGGGACTAATATCAGTAATATACCCATTGAATGCAATTTTTAAAAAATATTAATTCCCATTCTGTTTCAATATATCAATGTTTAAAGTTAACAAAATATTATTTCAAACTTTCAATTATCAAAATAAAAATTAATAAACATTTATGAATAAGTTTAACTTTTCTGTATTTATTTTATTAAATTAAAAATTTCATTATAATTCATTATCTATCAATGATGCCCAGCCGATTATTACCGATAACTGATTCTTTTTTTCCGATTTCCCATCACTAGAACTTGAATCAGACTATTAATTATATAAACCACATAATAATCATTCTACTTTTATTTTGCACCTTATCTAATTATGTAATTACCATAAAGCACTTTAAATGTAAAAAACAAGTACAATATAAAACAAAGATCAAGTGCAATATAAAAGGCAGAGTGGTAAAATCATAAAGCATGAAAATAACACCTTCCTATTGTTTTTTTTTTTTTTAATAATAAATGCCCATTAAACAATAATGAACTGCATGTAGATCTGTAGTCTTTTTATTCTACTGTTGTCTTTTTTTTTAAAAGCATTTTACACACACTACTAAGCTTTATTTTAGCCAATTGTCAGGAACCTGTGCAGGTGGTATTCCTCGTCTCTGCGATTGACACAAAATCACAATTTATGTAGGAGTTTCCTTTCTGCAAACTTCAGTAAACACTTGCACTGCTACTTTTACTAACAATAAGTTATCCTTTATAAACATGTACTGATGAGTCATGACAGGTGTACCTATATGCAAGAGTTGTCTCTGTAGAAGACTATCACATTTAGAAAAGTTATTCCCCTTAGTGGGGAATATCCAGGGTCAACCGGCGTAATGCACTGTTTTCCCACCATAACCTTACCAACTTTATAGGTCAATATCTTAGTAATAAAATCTGTATGAATATATTCATAATTTACATGTAATATGATGTTACCCAATAGTCAATACTCTGGCAATACAGGACTGAGGTACAGATCGAAATTGTCCGATAACATTTGAAAATTAAAAATATTAAAGTAACTTACAAAGGACAAAGACAGTGTGAAAAGGAGCGTTACCCCGACAACTGGAGAACCTCTTATAAATGTAAACAAAAAATGTAAAATTCGTCTATTTACGTTATGTAATGACTAACGCTTCGTTAAACTAAGTAAATTTTAAAAATAGATCATCTTCTCAATCTTCTTTAACACTAGTAAACTGTAGCAGTATCTAAATGGACTTTTTTTCTCCGTGTGACTTTTCTCCGTGAGACTTCAACTACGCAGTATGATCGCTGTGCCTAAACACTGCATAATAACAAATTAATGCTGCATGAACAAATATACGCAATGTTGTAATTATTCAACTAAATCCTTTACTCATTAAACCTTACAGAATGAAAACAACAATCGGCAATGAATACTTTTGTTTCAGTTCCGTGTTAACACTAAATTTCACTTTACTTCAGTTCTTCGTCGCCGTCCACATCAAAAATGGCTGACGTGCCTCGTTTTCATTTATTTGGTACACCGCGCCCGATCGAAAAAAAAAAATAAAGGTAAACCTAATCTGTTGATATATGTATCATTTCGTACGGCCACAAAATAGACAAAATTGGATGTGTAGTACATAAGGTTACTTGCACATTTAATGTAATTACTCACAGCTCTATTGCCTATGGGATCTGGGGAAGAAGATTTTTAAATTTTAAAGGTTTTCTGGTGTATTCTTATGTAAAATGTACTCATCCATTACGGCCCCACCCTTGCCCCTGGGGTCTTGATTTGAACAAACTTGAATCTACACCACCTGAGGGTACTTCACTATGAGTTTCATCTTTCTTGGCCAAGTGGTTCTTGAGAAGAAGATTTTTAAAATACACCATTACTTTTTCACTAATTCCTAATTATCCCCCCTTGAAAGAGGGCATGGCCCTTCATTTGAACAAACCTGAATCCCCTTCACCTAAGGATACTTTATGGCAAGTTTGGTTGAAATTGGCCAAGTGGTTCTTGAGAAGAAGATGAAAATGTGAAAAGTTTACAACGACAACGACAACGCCGACAACGACGACGACAACGACGACGACGACAGACAACGGACAAATTGTGATCAGAAAAGCTCACTTGAGCCTTTGGCTCAGGTGAGCTAAAAATTTAAACACACCATCAATATTTTTTCTTTAGCTTACTCACCATGATACCACCATCTGGTTTTCTTGGGATTTTTACTACAGGTTTTAACATAAAATGAGTCATCTGGAGGTCTTTTCTGTAAAAGCAAAGAAAATTAATAGTTCTTACAAACTAATAAACTTCTGTTCAAAGGCTTAAGAGTAGATCAAGGTAACCACAAAACCCACCAAAAAATCCAATAATTTTACTTCTTGGGCAAGTTTTCAGGATTTTTTTTGTTTTGGTCTAGATTACCAGTAGCCAGCTTTAATAAAATGTTTCTAATAAAATCATGACAGACCTCTAGCTAGAAACATTTTTCTTTACAGCTAGATAACATACTGACTACACTTAGGCAGACAGACAGGCACTTGCCTTTTCTTTACAGCTAGATAACATACTGACTACACTTAGGCAGACAGACTAATATACTTACCTTTTCTTTACAGCTAGATTACATACTGACTACACTCAGACAGACAGACTGGTACTTACCTTTTCTTTACAGCTAGATAACATACTGACTACACTTAGACAGACAGATTGGTAATTACCTTTTCTTTACAGCTAGATAACATACTGACTACACTTAGGCAGACAGACTGGTACTCACTTTTTCTTTACAGCTAGATAACATACTGACTACACTTAGACAGACAGACTGGTACTTACCTTTTCTTTACAGCTAGATAACATACTGACTACACTTAGGCAGACAGACTGAACGGAGAGGGCTGGGGACCAATCATCTGTTAGGATGGACAGACATATATGGCCGTTACTGTACACATGTGGATGGAGTGGTATGTTTCCTCCAATGAACATAACCTAAAAAGAAATAAAAATGTTTTGTTTTTAGGTATCAGACTATCAGTTCACATATGTAATATCCAACCACCAGTTCAGTCTCAAAACTCAAAAAATATCTGTATAAGTTTCATTTCACAAATCTCTTTAAGGTATTTTAATTGTAAATACCATCATCAAGCATGGTGAAATATCTTATTGATATGTTATGCATAGTGAGACATTAAAATATGTACTTGTGGAGAGTCAAAGGGATATCTTGACCCAAACTTAAAAGCAAGCTGAAATTTTTCTCCTTCATACAATGTGCCAGGAGCTCCATCCAAGTCAACAATCCATCTACACAATGAAAATAAGTACATGTACTATTATTACTATATGAATATACATGTATTACAATGATAAATTTGCTTCAATAATACTTTTAAAATTACATGTAACCAATATAGAAATCAAAAATTATAAATTACCATAAAAAGTCCACATATACATGTACATTTGTATATAAACTTGTATTTATAATATTTTTACTTACAATTAATGATCATTAAATTTTGTTCGATACATAAATTAGAATAAAAGAAAAAAAAATGAATAGGTGTAAGCTTACTCTGAGAGGTTTTTGTATATACTTTGAGCATCCACCTTCACACCGTTTGGAGGATCTTTTAATAAAGCTTGTAGTTCCTTTTGCAGTCTTTTCTGAAATGACAGAAATAAAAAATGATTTAATCTGATGTTTATTGTTATGTTTAAAATTCTTGGTGTGAATGGTAGAATGGTCCTTCCTATGCATTGCACTGTGGCAATCTAGATTAAATAAAATCCTTATATAAATAGTAAAACAATACATGTACAAATTATGAGAACAATTTTATGTATTGGTGTTTGGAGAGAATGAAAAATGTGGAGATAACAAACAATATTCAAGCTCAAAAGTCTAAAAACATTACAAAATAGGAGCAGAGCAAACATGGACCTAAAAACATCAGAGGTGGGATCTGGTGTCATGGAGGAGTGAGCATCCCCTGCAAACCGGTCAAACCCTCCATGTGCTCCTTGTCATGATTGGGAAATAATGGAAAAAATCTGTGGACAACTCAGAGTGTCAATAATGCCTAACAATCAGTATGCAAAAGGTCAGTCAGAATTTGACTTAAAGATAAATTGTATTTGCTGACAAGGTCATGATATTGACCATAGAACTTACAAAATGATTTTAAACAAGACTGCTGATATTCTTGCTTAATAAACTTGTTTGTCAATAACTCACCTAGTTTTAGAAATTGTTCATACGTAGAACATGCTCTGTAGCAACCGCTAATGATATAACACCGCTTGATGATACAAATATCATTAAGCAATGCAAATGTAACGCCATATATTATTGCATTAATGGTTGACATTTTCAACCGCTAATGCTAAATCACTGCTTAATGAAAGAATTTTATCATTAAGGGGATGAGGATGTGAACTATTAATGCAATGATTTATGACATTAAGCACTGCATTGCAAAGCTTAATGATATTTGTATCATTAAGCGGCATTATATTATTAGCGTTTGCTACAATGCTCTTTATCATAGCAATATCTTAGACCATAGATATAAGATTGCCTATTAAGAGTTACAATAATCTAACTGTGTCTCAGGACAAGCCCTCACAGGTCCGTACAACAATATCATTTTAATGACAGAATGTTCTACCTACCTATTTAGTTAAATGAGAGCGAGAATACTGTCCATAAATTACTATTAAGAAGGTCCCATATGTGTGCAAAGTATTTAGAGGTATTTTCAATACATGAATATCAGAAATAGGTTTTATACGAGGGGTTATCAAAAAGTTTGTGGACTAGCGTCATAGAATTAAAACCGCTTTAGGCACATCAATGAATTTTAAAATATCTAGTTTGCATCATCTTTATCTATCTAAAAAATAAACCATAAATCATAAATTTTATTTCTTAATAAGTAAGTAATATTTTTGTAATCAATGGTATGTCCAGCCGGCGCAATCTCGAACACGACGTTTTTGCGACCTATGTGTAATTGAGAAAAACTCTTTTGATATGATCATTTGAATTCCAAAAATCCCGTTAATTCAGGTATGTGTCGGGACGCAATTGTTCCATAAAGTATGAAATTTCCACTTCATTCTGGAAGTTCTATGAAATTTTATCGTAAATTTTCACGGAATGTCCAAACAAATTAGGCCTTGAAAATGACGTCAAAAGGTGGGAGGGGTTTCCGTTTCTATCATTCTATAAAGTTTTGCCCCTGAAAAAACTGGTATAGACCTAAAATATGTTGAAACTGGCTACAGAGAAATAATATGCATCCCGAGTACTTGTCTTGTAATGTCAAAATAGATTCAGAGAGAAAAAAACAAAGTTAATGTCGATTTGCAGTAAAGGTTTGAAATTTCAATCACTTCAAAAAATGACGTTGATCATGTGTTGTGGATATTGAACTCCCAAAAGCAAAATATGCCGGCACAATCAAGTGCAGATCTCTCCCAAAGTATTAATCCATTTGGAATATCATATTCATTGAAGGCCACTGTTCATGACATTGTAAAGTCATATAAACAAGGCGGGTTTAATTCCTTACTCAGCTCCAGGGAATCTCATCAAAAAAGTGTATGAGGTATAAGAAGCAGACATTGAAAAAACAATGACATTATCGGACGTCATGAAAATAAACGACGACAGCGCCGGGTGATCATATATATTGTAGTTTATATTTTGCAATAATTTGGCAAATAATGAACGTATCAGGCTAAAATTTTCAACATTTCTTTATTTTCTGTTGTTTTATGCTCCATATAAATTTTGAAAGCACAGACTACATAGTACTAATTTTATAGCCTCAGTCCACGAACTTTTTGATAACCCCTCGTATAGTTGATTGAACTGTTTATTGAGCTAATCAATATATTCTTGTTGTCAAAATAATTTCATCGAAAATTTGGTACTTTGGATATATTATTTTTAATCTAATCATTTTCTTGAAATTGATATTGTTAATTCTGAGGGTAAGTTTTTCGTGGACCATATTTAGCAGTTATTATTGTTATACATTCTTTAAAAAATGGGAAACATGTATAGATGAGTGGGTCAAGCAAAAATATGTCTTAACTTTGCTGTTAAGAAGTAAAACGAAACGAAAAGAAAATAATTATACGGAGTTTGCTTGCTGTATTACGTCATACACACGATAAAGTGTAACCTTAAATTACAAATAAGAATCACTCATTGGCACTAACTGATATATTCAAACCAAGAAAATGAATAATTGGCACAATCTGTCACTTTACCTCCATTGAAGCGGTAACTGGAAAAACCCGAAACCCCCCGATTTTTGGAGAATACCCATACAGGAGGGGTGAAACCCCAATAAAGTGGTGGAAACCCCATAAAATTGAATGTAATGGGGTACTATAAGGCCTAAGGTGATGTTTAATTGAATGATATTGACATCCGTAAATTTTTATAGCCAATTTTACCTCAGAATCGACGGGTTTTCTTCTTGTCTTGATATACTGCACACCACGCCCGATCTAAATTCGCGATCGCTGAAGTCGTTTCGAGTAATCCGTGGAAATAATTACTATCTTGATCAATATGAATATTATATTATGTATGAATATAAATTTAAAAAAAATTATTTGTAAGGAAACCTTAAGAATATATTCCTATATATAAGAATATAAGTATGTATTATATATAAGTATGAAATATTTATCATGTTGAAAGACATTACAGTGCAATGTTTAATTGAATTTTTTAAAAAGAATTTAACTAGTCCATTAATCAAGAAATAAAGTCATTTTTATAAATTCCGATCATTTATAATATGTAATTGAATTTAATCAATTAATGAATGAATCTGTTAATGTAATTATTAGATCTATAATGAAAGACATTACAGTGAAATTTATAATTGAATGTTTTTTTTATGAATTTAACTAGTCCATTAATCAAGGGATAAAGTAATTTTTCTCAATTCCAATCATTTATAACATGTAATTAAATTAAATAAACTAATGAATGAATTTGTTTATTTATTTAATTTTTAATTAAGGTGTTTGTTTTGAAATGTTTTCTTCTATGTTTAATAATTAATTTTTAAATTCAGTATTCATTCATTATTATTTTCATGTATCCATTACAATGAAATTATTAGAATCCAGGTCTATGAAAAAAAAAAGTCTGAAAAAAAAATAAAATGTGCATGTTGCATATGTGAATCCTTGTACAGTTGGCATTGTAACATTATTGTGAGAATATTATTCACACCTCAGCTAGCTCTGTTGTTTTGTACTGGGATAGACAGGCACCCCTGTGTGTGTACATACACTATATACACAGCTGTTGACACTTGGTCAACTTGATAATAAACACCTTTTGTTTAAACACCTGTGTTCCCAGCTAGTCTGACCAACCCCCCTCTGGCAGGGCATGTGTATATACGTTGAACCTTTACTATTCTCAATTGTACAGTTATGCTTTACAGAATTTCATTTTAAGGACGTTAGCACACACATAAGGAAAATATGAATTTTGATAATTTTGATAATTCATGACAAATTAATAAATAAAGACCTTTTAAATTAGTAATAACTGAAAATATTCATAGTTTCCTTATGTTCCCAGCTCTAGCCACGTGGAGGCCTCCTTAAGTGTAGAGTCATGATTTGAATTTTGAAACAAAAATATTAAAACCAAAGGACCGAAAGATGACCGAAAGTTAAAAAATAAAAAAAAATTTAAAAAGATTTTTTAAAAAACTGAAAAATTAAAAAGATACTGGATCGATCATTATTCCTAGTCAATCTTTTGTTCATATAAAAAATATTACAGCCAAATGAAAGTTATATACATAAAATAAAATAACATAATAAAAATTTTAGAGAAAGGAATTTATAATTTAATTAGCAACATTTAAAAAAACAATAACATTCCTAACCTAACCTAACCTAACACAACACCAAACAGTATTCACTGGTCATGCAGCACCCGTCTGGCGGGGGAGGAATACTGCCTGATACTAACCCTATTCTAAGTTCTAACCTAACACAACACCAAACAGTATTCACTGGTCTGCACCCGTCTGGCGGGGGAGGAATACTGCCTGATACTAACCCTATTCTAAGTCCTAACCTAACACAACACCAAACAGTATTCACTGGTCTGCACCCGTCTGGCGGGGGAGGAATACTGCCTGATACTAACCCTATTCTAAGTTCTAACCTAACACAACACCAAACAGTATTCACTGGTCTGCAACCAATGTGCTGAGTTCAAAAATTACCTGCTCAGCACAAACAAAAGGGTACTGATATATAATGTTGCGGACTCCTATTGGGGCACTGGTTGCAATGGCAAAGGGAAAAATATTCAGGGTAAACTCCTCATGCATTTTAGGCATAAAATGGCCAGTGCAACCAGTGCTCCATCTGTAAGTTCCCCTACAGTTCCAACACCCATCCCAACAGCAGCTCCCTCAATTCCTCACCCTGTATCCGAACCAAGTCTTCCAGCAGCTCCCTCCACTATTTCCCCTATTACAATGCACCCTGTACCCGTCCAAGGTCCTGCATCAGCTCCGTCAATTCCAGCACCCATCCCGAATGCAGCTTCATCAATTCCGCCTGCTTCAGCTCCATCAATTACACCAGCTACAAGCCATCCTGTACCCATCCTGAGTCCTTCAACAGCTCCATTAATTATACTCTCCCAACAGGTCCTACAACAGCTTCCTCTGTAGAAACCCCTACATCTCCTCAGTCACCTGTCCAATCTATTACTTATTCAGAACGAATTGCGGTAATTGGTCAAAATCATGTGTCAGAATTAGGGAACAGTGTAGCAAATGGTTCTGTGAATTTTAAGTTGCCAAATGATTATTGTGTTAAATTTTTCAGTGACAAAGATACTACAACAAAAAGCTTTATTTATAGTCAATCTTTTGGAAGAGCAGTTGAATTTTGTCCAACAAAAGTGTTTCTACAAGTGGGAGAAAAAGATATAAATTCATCTTCTGTATCAGAAATAGTGTTAGGAATCCAAAACATTATTGAAAAACTGTTAAGAAATGATTCGGTTCAAAAAATATTTATTGGAAGTCTGTTTAAGCAAATGATTTGTGGTACTATGGATCCAGGAAAGTACAATTCTACGGTTTTTGATATAAATAACACACTCCGGAGGAAGTATGGAAATTCTCAGAATGTGATATTTTGGAGATGTAGGGGTTTAATGAATTCGAATAAAAACATTTGGCATGTCAATGGGATAAGTTTGAACAGAGAGGCAATGGAAATTTTTAGTCGACAGATTCAGCTTGCAGTGAAATGTAAAATTACATAAAATACATGTGCTTGGAGATGATCAAATAATTTCATCTTTCAACCAGTTCAGACAGACATTTTTCATAGTTAAAATTCCATCAAAACTCCAGTTCTTTTATTTTGTTGTGTGATTTTTTTCTTCTTTTTTTTTCTTTTATTTCATATTTGTTGTGCTTTAAAGACAATTCAAAATGTAAACAACTGATGTAAAATAATTTTTTTGCTAAGAAAAGAACATAAAAAAGTTACTTTGAAATAAAATATCTATATATTTAAAATTGATATGTTATTTTAATTTACTATTTATTTCAGGTTTCAGTATATTTTTCATCTTTTGACTTTGATTTATTTTTTGTTGTATTTTTAACATATAAGTAATTATTATTTTTATTTTTAATTATTATTGTTGCTTTGAACCTTTGAATTTCAAATTTTTATATCCCTACATTCAGAATTTGTCTAAAATCTCAAAAATAAATTCAGTTTTTTCATATTTTGAATTTTATTTCTTTTTTTGTTCTCTTTGTAACAAATAAGTAATGAATTATCTTTACTATTTTTTTTTTTTTGGTTAATGTTGCTTCGAAGCTTTTGGATATTTTCATATCTATAAATTCATATTTTCTCTTAAATATCCAAAATGAATTTTTTTTTTAATTATGGCTCTACAAAAAGGAGGCCTCCACGTGGCTAGAGCTGGTAACATTGGGATAATATGAATAATAATTAATACACAAATTCATATTTTCTTAATGGCTAACGTCCTTACATTTTTTGTTAAATACTTATTACATAATTCATATTTTACTATTATCATTGTAAAACAAATATAATTGTGGAAATCATTATGAATTATTTCAATATTATCTATACAATTATATTGACAAACAGCACGCTTCGAATTTAGATCGGGCGTGGTGTACGGTAAACTCGTAATGTCGGCCGATTTCCGTCGATTCTGAGGTAAAATTGGCTATAAAAATTTACGGATGTCAATATCATTCAATTAAACATTACCTTAGGCCTTATTGTACCCCATTACGTTCAATTTTATGGGGTTTCCACCACTTTATTGGGGTTTCACCCCTCCTGTATGGGTATTCTCCAAAAATCGGGGGGTTTCGGGTTTTTCCAGTCACCCCCATTGAAGCCATTTTTCTGTTTACATTTAGTTTCGAATACAAAATTTAAAAATACTATTAAAGATTTTTGCTTATAAATATACCCAAAAATAACTTGAATTTTATTTATTATATCTCAGGAAGAGTTTATTAGAATAAAACAATCACCCATATCGAAATCAATAAAAATTATTATTACGAAAATAAGGAGAAGTTTCATGATTATGTTTTGACTAAATGAAGAAAATAATATCTTTCTAATTTAATAGAATTGAATCGTAATGAATAAGGATATTACTGACTTAGATATGAAAGAAAACATCTTTTGATTCCTTCATTTCTGTTTTATACAAAAATCTTTTAAAAGGGGAAAAAATCACAGTCTTCTTTTTTTTACTTGGCGGTATCTGTCATTTCGTCTATTAGTCTGAATAAAAATGGGTCCAGCGAATGCGAAATTGAATCCAGTTGGTGCTGCTGCATGCTTTGCCTTTGGACTGTGTATGGTGATTTATGTATTTGGATTTCCAGATTGGTTTCAGAAAGAGCAGAAGATAAGTTTGAAGGAACTTTTATCAGTTAGCATCGCTCTGGTTGAGCGAGGTGGGACTCGGGTACGCGAGATACGTGAACGTAACACGTTGGCAGATAGATCAAAAGGCAAAACGAAGGAGGGCGCAGATGAAGTTCTCACAGAAGGCGATATGGAGTCTCACAGAGCTATTGTGTATGGTTTTGCCAAGACTTTTCCTGGACTTCAGGTACTATAGTTGTGAAAGTCTTGATTTAAGAAAAACGTGAATGTCAAATGACACTGTAATGTAAACAATGTATACCACATCAGCATACTCAAGTTCCCGAATATACCTTTGTCACAATAAGTAATAGTTTATGGATTATGATACCTGGATTTGACCATGTTATTGAAACCAGTCACTTGAACATCAATCACTTGGAAGTATTTTTCACCAATAAATTTTTTGATAAGGGTGACACCCATGTTAATACAGGTTGGGAAAGGGGGGGGGGGGGTATTTGTCATGAATGTATGCCCATTTGTCCTAAAATACATTCACCCTTCATGTCAATCACCCTAATTATTGTTACCCCAGAGTCTGCTTGTGCTAAAGGCCATAATAAATATATTCCTAGATTCTCATCCCGCCCGCCCTGATTTCTTAACCCTGCCTCAATTTTTTTAATTTCTGTTTTTTCTACATCTTAATTCTGATCAGGATCAGTATTCACTTTCATTTTAAGAGCCATTCTCTGTAATGACTTGAAATTTTATATAGGAGCTGTGGCACGCATAGTCTCAGAATTTCTCCAAACTCTCTATGATAAAAGTCTTTGATACCCTTAACTAAAATCAGGCAAAAATTGGTTGCTATGTTTTATAGTTACCATGGCAACATGTCTAAAAGTTTAAAAAATGACATTTTTCACCATGTTTAGAGCCCCATAATTAACATTTGCGGCAAAGCAAACAATTGGCATTGACTGTTTCCAAAAGTTGAAGGCCTGTTGCCTCAAATGCATGATAAACAGGTTTGGTAAATCAACTATTACATACGTTACTATGGTAACAAATTATTAAAAAGTAAAAAAAATATTCATTGAATTTTATAAAGTCATACAGGTAAAAATAAAAAGCAATTATAGGATGAAATGTGATCAAATAATAGAGAAAAGAGCCTTGAAACATATACCAAGAACAAATTATGATATTTCAGTTTGGTTGGAAATGGTTGCCAAGGTTTTTATAGAACAGAGAGCCTTCAAATTTACACTCTGTATGTTTAAATCTGATCCTATCTTTTAAGAAAGCATATTTCCTCATAACTAATGATCAATTTTTAAAGATGTTGGTGTGGTCCTTATTTTCCCATTTAAAAAAATTAGATCCGATTCTTTAAATAGAGCGTTGCTATGGAAATAAGCAGAAAAAAATATGCTTAAAAATCTGAAAAATATTTTGTTACCTTGGATACGTACCCTCAAATGTAGATTCCCAAAACTTTTATGATTGATATTTATTAACAGCTGACCTGACTTTTAATTTTGACTATCATCCAATCTCTAACTGGATGCAAGAAGCTGGCACACAGGGTTTAATATTGATATAAAGTTCACAAAATCGAACATTTTCCCTTCTTGGTAACCATAGCAACAGTGTTGTTTACTTCGTCAAGTTTTATCAATATATGATATTAAACTTCAGTTCTAACAGATAAGTACAATTCAAGCTGAGTCCTTTAATTTGTTTCTTGATTATATGGCAATTTGATTCTTAATGCAGCGAATAATAATTCACTTTTAAGCACTGGTACTTTGTTTCCATGGTAACACTGCAAAGTAGCAATTATACCCAAAATTTCTAATGGTTTTGGTGTTGCAAGGTCCTAAGGATGTATATTTGCCAGTCTTAAATTTTCATGTTTTTCCTCAAGACAGTAGCATTAAACCAATCTTAGTTACTGGTTTTGCATGGTTACACTATGTTACCATGGCAACCATTAAAGTTATTTATAGAATAATATTGCTTATACATATATACTTAAGGTCAAACATTTTCATTGTTTTTCTTAAGTCGTTGATTGAGTTTGAGCATGTAACACCTACCATTAGTGAATATGGAGTGTTTTTCAGCATATTTCAGCATTTTAAATGTATTCCAAACGTACCCTTGGTTACCACTTACTTAGAGATATATTCTAAACAGTTTCTTTACAGTATAAGTAACATCAAGGTGTCATGTTTTTGTGAGAATGGTTTGTTTGCTTTTTCTAGTTTTTATTAAGCCACAGTCAAGATTTAAAGTGGCTGAAAATCTCGATTTTTCAAACTTTTCCGGCTGTTGCCATAGCAACCGAGACACTTAGCAACGAAATTTTGTTTGATATTTGTTTCTGGTGTCAAGTACTAAGCATGGGTGAAGTTTCATCAAAATCGGTGACCATGCGTGGCAACGAAGTTTAAGTGGTTACAGAGAATGGTTATTAAATCCTGTGAATGTCGGCATGATTTTGACAGCTGAAAAGATGGTAATTGCTGTAATATATATTTAACAAGGGTCATTGGTTGTGGAACATTGGTGATGGTGTGAAGTAAGAGATAAATAGACCTCTACTATGACTTTTATTCAGGGATTATAGATAAATCTACACCGATAGACCAGGTCAATGAAAAAAAAATCTGCAAAATGGAAAAAAATATAAAATAAAACTCGCCCGCCTGTCTCGATTTTTAAAAAATTTGGATGAGAATCTAGGAATTTTTTCAATTATGGCCTAAACTTTTTGTCCAAGGTCTATTTGTTATATATGATATTTCGTTAATTTCAGTTATATCCTTAGATTTTATTGATTTTCATATAATTTTTCTGTTTAAATTATTATTTCTTAATATATTTGAACATTCATTATGTTAGGCCGCAGAACTAAAGCTCTGTGGTTGAGAAAATTCAGAGAAACCAGAGAGCTACAGATTCAAACATTGTAAAAACCTTTGATTTTACTTACAGATAACATTTGCTGAGGTGAGCTTCGTATTCTTTGATTACTTATATTTTCAGGTTATTTCTGAGGAATCAGATATTAGGCCTGTTAACTTTAAGCTGATAGAAAATGTTAATTCCAAAAATGAGGAGGTGGACAAATTAATTAAGAATGACATGTCTGTGCCATTTCACAGTGTGGCTGTGTGGGTTGACCCTCTAGATGCTACTCAAGAATATAAAGGTAAATTTATTTACAGGTTAAATTAGCAATGATTTTATTCATATTGTGATAACAATGAAAACATTCTAAATCCAGTGTAAATGTTAAAGTGAAGATTGTATTTATTAGATTGTGTTCAATTATAAACTCCTGCATTGTTGGAACCCAGAAGAATTATGTCATTAGTCATTACACTTTGATCAGGCCAGTTGAGTGTAGTAGAACAGAGAGAAAACCAGTGGGATCCAACAATGAAAACGATATTGAATGAATTACTTTTTCAATCTATTTTTTCTTTTAGAAAATTTGCAGAAGTTTGTGACAGTCATGATATGTGTGGCCGTCAATGGGCAGCCAACAATTGGAGTCATCCACAAACCATTTGAGAAAAAAACAGGTGACCTACTTGCTTAATGAAAAATTTCATAGAAAGAATAAAGTTTTTGACAGTTTTTAGCTTGCCTGAGTGTATAAGGTTCAATGGAGATTTCTTGATCACCTTATGTGTGTGTTTCTGTCTGTTGGTTATCTTTTCAACTCACTCGAGTCAAAGGCTTAAGTGAGCTTTTCTGAATACATTTTGTCTTGCGTCCAGGTATTTAATGGGCAACTATATATGATATGCATTGGAAAGACGTCTTTAAAAATTTCTTTTTAAGGACAGCAAAGGTCTTATGATTCATATTAATGTTAAAATTTCTATATAGGGGTTCAAGGATACAATCTGACAAAAAAGACTTCAGGATTTCAGCATGGAAAACATAAATATTTAATATGAATTGTGTATTAATTACAGTATGGGCTTGGGTTGGTACTGGCCATTCATCAAATCTTAAAAAAGTAGAAAACAACAGGAAAGAGGGTGACCCCCACAACATCATCATATCGCGATCCCACACAGGAGATGTAGCGGAAAGTGTCAGAAGAAGTCTGGGAAACAGCACAAATGTTATCTACGCTGGAGGGGCAGGTAACTCTAGAATCTAATATTTAAATGGAACCTGAGAAGTTACTGTTTCAAATTTGATTATAAACAAAAAAAAAAAAAAACAACAAAAAAAACAAAGGAGAAATTTTTAAGCATTTAAGATAGACACACTGATTTATTATGATTTATCTTAATCAAGGCTTAATGTACAAGTAGATGAAAATTTCAATAAAAGAGAGATAAAGAATAAAACTGTTGCATTTATAGGTTATAAAACACTAGAAGTCATTGAAGGGAGAGCAGATGCTTATGTGCATACCACAAGAATAAAGAAATGGGATATTTGTGCTGGGAATGCTCTTTTATCTGCATTTCATGGAAAAATGACCACTCTCGAGGGAGCATTCATTGACTACTCCTCGCGGAAAGAAGTGAAAAATAATGATGGATTATTAGCAACTCTTTTTGATCATTACAAATATTTAGAACAGCATATAGCCAAACCAATGGAGCACAACAAGGATAAAAGTTAGTGAAACAATCAGTATTAAAAGATCTCCAGTTTTAGAGTGATTAGGAATTGGCCAGTCTTTTTTGTCGAAAAGTGTACATACTTTATCAGTCATGTCCTAGTTGCATATGTTTGTTATCAATCATTTGTGTTTTGCTGCATAAACACAGAATTATGTCTTGAGCTGGCCTCATAAGTGGATTAAGACTTGTTTCTGTAAGTGTTTGTCACTGCTTTCGGATTGATTTATTAATTTGAAGTTATTGATGGATTGTAATTTAATGCATACATTTTGATGGAGAAAAATTCATTCAGGTTTTTATTTTAAGAAATGATTATGCTGATGCTGATAAATAAAAAATCTTTTGAAGGAAAACTGAAATTGGATAATTAAAATGTAGTCACCAAACTTGTAGTTTGTGGGCAATAATAACTTTACATTTATATTAAACCAAACAATATTTAAGACTAAGCAGAATGCTGACTGAAGTAAATTTTGATATGAAATATAAAATAAGTTTCAGGTCACAACAAATCATGGTCATTTGGAGTTTTACATCTTCTGTGACAGTGAGACAGTGTGTTTTGTTGTGTGATTATTCAAGGTCTGTAATAAATATTCATGAGGTCCTCGTTTATAAACACGAAGGCTTAATGCATTATGCTTCAATGTTTGTCTCTGCTAAACTGGGTAAAATGGGGGGGGGGGGATAGTTAGAAACTGATATAATCAAATTTTTTTATCATCTGAAAGTTTTAGAAAAGACTTCAGAAATGGTCAAAATAATGATGTGTTATAAAAGGTATGGGTATATTTTTGTGTTTGTTTCTTCATTACTTTGTTTTATCCTGTGTTTATAAATTCTTTACATGTCACATTTTGTTGTTAAAGTCAGTCAAAGAAAAATGACCAAGTTATGTTAAATACATGTATGTTCACATATATGAACAAATTTAATCTTTTATATAAATAAGGGCTCCTTTTAAAACAAGGAGAAATTGAGGTCTACATTTGCATAATGTAAATATTTAGTATTCACTGATATGGCTAGATTTTATTATAATGTATCATGATACACTGAGACGTATCATGATACATAACGCGATATTTTACGTTTCATATTTTTAATGTTATTTGTTGTCTCTGCTCTTTAATAAGAAACTCTCTACTGCAATGTAATAGGATAAAAGTTGTAGATTCTTTCATTGATTTCACATATAATTTGATGTAACTTTTGATAAGCACTGAACATCATAAAACATAGGTAAATAAAGGAAATAGCTTTAATTTGGTTAAATTAAAAAAAGGTATATGATTTTTTGTATAGGAATACAGTACAATTTTTGTGTATTGGGTGTATTAGTATATAGATACAAACCTAATTAATCATTTTAAAGTCCTTAATTTGTATTAACAATGTATATATCTAACTCTGGGATTGTACATATTATGGTGTAATGTGTTTTAATCATCTAAGTTTATGACAAAGTTTGGTGACTATAAAAATGTTCTTTGCTCATAAATGAATGTGAGGTTTTCGTTGTCTCATATGTTTAATATTTCATGGTATGTGAGATAATTTATTATGAGCTATTTTCTGCATTATTCATACAATTTTATGTATAGTTTTGTGCCATGGGGTTGTGTGATGTTTCACTTGCTCCAGTTAATTGGAGTTCATAATGAGATGCATTTTGTATAAATGTACTCTTCTATGCAGCTTCTAGCTAGAGGTGCACTATTAAAAAAAAGTTGCCATTGCCAAAAATGTGTGAGTGTGGGGAAGAGAATGAGATTTTACGGAATATTTATTATAGCTTGTAAAGAGTCATAGTTAACTCCCTTTTCTCCATGATTATTTTCCTTCACAAATTTCAATTTTCAGTTGTATTAATGTTACAAAATGCAGGCATTGTTTTAGTTTACTAATAAAATGTTTGTTGACATGTGCATTAATAACATTGTTTATTAAAACTTCCTTTTATTGTTTTTAAATAATTTAAAAATATATATAATTGCTAACCTGGTATATTATTCCATAATAAACATGTAGTTTTATTTTCTAATTTCCTTTGTGTTGGTGACATTTGAAGTCTTTAAATTAGCTTGTGGTGATTTCTTTGAGTTTATATACTACTACTTGTAAACACTTTATTTATCTACATTTGTTTTATTAATGGTTTTCATATTTGTTTTACATAGGTGCATGGTGCTAGATTTGGTTGTTGAACATACATGTAAATTTATTTCTGAATATCTTTTTATGGACTAAATAGATTTTTTTTATGTAACAGCATTGCATATGTGTTTATGATGTGATATGTATAATCTATCAATGCTAGTCATGTACTAACATTTGAATGCAAATATTAATTTTTCATATTTTTTCTACTTAAAATCTGGTATTTGGAAATCAACTTTTGTTTAAATTTTTAACAAATAAGTATGCATTTGTGTGAGTGGATGAAGTTACACTGTAGGATTGCAAATTCAGTTGTTGTTAAAAAAGATGGCATACAGATACATACATACTTTAATACATTTATACATATATGGTAACGTTATGTCTACTGTTATTGTTGTATGTAAATGAAGTATATTTAAGCTTTTAATAAGCATTTAGACAATTGATAGGATTTCAGATGTTAACATTCCATTTTTAGAGTCAGAGACCAATAGAGCTTTTGTGTTGCCATGGTTACTAGAACTTTCTGTGACATTATCTCAAAGTACTTCTACTACAGTTTTGGTTCTATTTCTATAAGACCTTTAGACTATACTAAGTCACATAGGATGAGTTCACTTTTTATCAGACACATACCTTGATCAGGCAACTTTAAATTGAAGGGGGGGGGGGCTTGCAATGGCTAATTAATTGCAGGAGTAAACCATGTATGTTTTAGAAAATGCAGGTGCTAGTTATGCTGTTACAGTGATGTTTTAAATTCAAATAAATATTAAGCCTTTTTTAGAATAGATTTTAGTACAGAAACATGCCTGTTTCCTTTATTCAACTCGTCTGTGTGTTTAATTTATGCAGATAAATAAAATACAAATTCTTTTGTATAACAAGTATTTGATTAATTATGACAGCATTATAGTTTATGTGTAATGTTGATGCAGTTGTGTTTTAAGAGTTTTGATATTCTGGTGGCGATGTGAATTTGTTATACCATTACTGTCATTATATTCATATTAAAATTACATGTATATTTTGGACAAGTATTTATATTTTGGAGTTTGTATCCTCACATTGGTGGTGAACAAATCTGTGTTTCATCAAATGATTTATTCTTTGTCATATATGAATGTTATATTGTTTAAGGGAGTCTGAGAATAAAGCAGGCAAAATATTTAGCCAGTTTATATTTATCTGTAACATATAAATGAGCATTCAGAAGTGCTTCCTTCAAAGAATCCAGTCCCTAACAGTAAAAGCTTAGATTGCCTATCAAGCTTCTTGTACTAAAATACAATTATGGTGCAAGGATTCCTTCCTGCCAGACTTGTAGTAAGATCCACACTGGGTGCATCATCAGAAACTTCCAGTTGGTCTCGCTTCTCTTTCCGAAATACATGTCTCACTCTGATAAATTCAACAATTGCAACATTTAGACAATCATGCAGATTCATTGTCCTTGTTTGTCTCCCCTCCCCTCCAAGAGGTTTCTTGATAATACAATCAAAAACATGGTAAGCAGTAGAAATTAACTATTGCTGTTGCTGTTTACCTTACCTAACTCAAAGGCTCAAGGGAACTAAATTCTGCTCAAAATTGGTCTATTGTATGTTGTCATAATGTTTTCATTTTTAGCTCACCTGAGCCGAAGGCTCAAGTGAGCTTTTCTGATCACATTTTGTCCGGCGTCCGTCTGTCTGTCTGTCCGTCTGTCTGTAAACTTTTCACATTTTCGACTTCTTCTCAAGAACCGCTGGGCCAATTTCAACCAAACTTGCCACAAAGTATCCTTGGGTGAAGGGGATTCAAGTTTGTTCAAATAAGGGCCATTATTCAAGGGGAGATAATTGGGAATTAATGAAAATTTAGTGGTATATTTTAAAAATCTTCTCAAGAACCACTGTGCCAGGAAAGATGAAACTTATGGGGAAACATCCTCAGGTAGTGTAGATTCAAGTTTGTTCAAATCATGACCCCCGGGGGTAGGGCGGGGCCAAAATGGCCGACCAAAGTTTTACATAGAAATATATAGGAAAATTCTTTAAAAATCTTCTTCTCAAGAATGACAAAGCCATAATTCATCATATTTATATGGGAGCATGCTCATGTAATGTAGATTCAAATTTGTTCAAATCATGACCCCCCGGGTAAGGGCGGGGCCAACATGGCCGACCAAAGTTTTACATAGAAATATATAGGAAAATTCTTTAAAAATCTTCTCAAGAATGACAAAGCCATAATTCATCATATTTATATGGGAGCATGCTCATGTAGTGTAGATTCAAGTTTGTTCAAATCATGACCCCCCGGGTAAGGGCGGGGCCAACATGGCCGACCAAAGTTTTACATAGAGATATATAGGAAAATTCTTTAAAAATCTTCTTCTCAAGAATGACAAAGCCATAATTCATCATATTTATATGGAAACATGTTCAGGTAGTGTAGATTCAAGTTTGTTCAAATCATGACCCCTGGGGGTAGGGTGGGGCCAAAATGGCCGACCAAAGTTTTACATAGAAATATATAGGAAAATTCTTTAAAAATCTTCTTCTCAAGAATGACAAAGCCATAATTCATCATATATATATGGAAGCATGCTCAGGTAGTGTAGATTCAAGTTTGTTCAAATCATGACCCCCGGGGGTAGGGCGGGGCCAAAATGGCTGACCAAAGTTATACATAGAAATATATAGGAAAATTCTTTAAAAATCTTCTTCTCAAGAATGACAAAGCCATAATTCATCATATTTATATGGAAGCATGCTCAGGTAGTGTAGATTCAAGTTTGTTCAAATCATGACCCCCGGGGGTAGGGCGGGGCCAAAATTTCACCAAAGTTTTACATAGAAATATATAGGAAAATTCTTTAAAAATCTTCTTCTCAAGAATGACAAAGCCATAATTCATCATATATATATGGAAGCATGCTCAGGTAGTGTAGATTCAAGTTTGTTCAAATCATGACCCCCGGGGGTAGGGCGGGGCCAAAATGGCTGACCAAAGTTTTACATAGAAATATATAGGAAAATTCTTTAAAAATCTTCTTCTCAAGAATGACAAAGCCATAATTCATCATATTTATATGGAAGCATGCTCAGGTAGTGTAGATTCAAGTTTGTTCAAATCATGACCCCCGGGGGTAGGGCGGGGCCAAAATGGCCGACCAAGGTTTTACATAGAAATAAATAGGAAAATTCTTTAAAAATCTTCTTCTCAAGAATGACAAAGCCATAATTCATCATATATATATGGAAGCATGCTCAGGTAGTGTAGATTCAAGTTTGTTCAAATCATGATCCCGGGGGGTAGGGCGGGGCCAAAATGGCCGACCAATGTTTTACATAGAAATATATAGGAAAATTCTTTAAAAATCTTCTTCTCAAGAATGACAAAGCCATAATTCATCATATATATATGGAAGCATGCTCAGGTAGTGTAAATTCAAGTTTGTTCAAATCATGACCCCCGGGGGTAGGGCGGGGCCAAAATGGCCGACCAAGGTTTTACATGGAGATATATAGGAAAATTTTTTAAAAATCTTTTTCTCAAGAATGACAAAGCCATTATTCATCATATTTATATGGAAGCATGTTCAGGTAGTGTAGATTCAATTTTGTTCAAATCATGACCCCCGGGGGTAGGGCGGGGCCAAAATGGCCGACCAAAGTTTTACATAGAAATATATAGGAAAATTCTTTAAAAATCTTCTTCTCAATCATTTTCTAAAAAATAGCAAATCCATGATTGGTCATGGGACTACTTTTGGATTTAAACTTTACACCATTTTATACTAGTCCTACCCTTGGTGCTCAGGTGAGCGATGTGGCCCATGGGCCTCTTGTTTTGTCTAGAATCACTGGTCCAAATTCAGCCAAAGTTGACACAGGGTATCCTTGTTTGAAGGGGTATTTAATTTATTCAAATAAAGGGCCACACTCTCTTCCAAGGGGAGATGATTTTAGGAGTAGGGAAGACCATCGTTGCAAACCTTGGCCAAAATGTACAATCCTCTCCCATTCTCCACAAGAGAGAGCTGTATGCGGACTACGGACCGTGGCTTGAGACGATGATGGAAGACTGGGTGGAATCATTTTAAAACCCTTTTCCCAATAACCACTTGGCACTTGGACGTTTTAAACTTGCTCTTCATTTACAAGAATACCACCATATTTTAAAGCCAACAGGAGAGAAAAAATATTGAAAACTTTCTTTAAATGAAAAGCAAAGTTATATGTTCATATATATGTAGAAGCTTCCTCTAAGCTGTATTCATATTAGTATATAGATGAATTCTCAGGTTTTGCAGACTCAAATTTATTCAAATTATGACCTGGGGGGGATTGGGGGTTCCACAATTGTGTTCATAAGCCTCTTGAAAATGTAAATTTTGTGAATTTGTTGTTTTAAACAGTCCTTTGCACCAATACATGTAGCTTCTGTGCCATATGCCCATATACATTTTGATTCAATTGTCTTACAATGGCAGTACATGTATTAGCTAGAGCCCTCCATATTATTTACTTTTTATCTTTAGCGTAGCATTCTTCCCATGAAAAAGTTTAAAAAGATAAAATATGTAGCACATTTAAAAGATATGTACATGTATATATATAATTATGTCTTCCCCTGAGGAGGAGGGGGGTGGATCTTAATTTATTTATCCCCTTGACGCTTCCGTTTTACTTAATTTTATAACAGAAGAAAATTCAAATATTAAACATTCACACATCTATAAATTAAGGTTTTTTTTTTTATAGTTGAGGCAGAAAATATGTACATGTAAACATGTTAATTTTAAGTAGGAAAAGTATATATATGTATAGTAATAAGTTATTGTTTTAGCAATTGCCAAAGAATCCTTAGTGTTTCAAACAACGTCAGGCTGTTCATTCCAAGCGTTGAGCCTGCTTTCCTTTGAGGACATCGGGCTATTAAGGCTACTGTTGAAATACTTTGGAACTGTTGGTTTCTTTTCATCTTTTTTGGTTTTATTTTTGTCCTCCTTGGAATTGCTCCGATTTTTAATCAGGGGTTCCGGAGTCCAAGCGAATGAAAATTCGGAGTTAGCGTCCTCTTCACCGTAATCGCTGAACGAATCTTGAGCCGAAACCAATTCGTCTGAATCGTTAGAAGTAAGGGTAACCGCCTCTGATGGACAGTTTCTTAGGGTTTCATTCAAGGGAGTTTCTTCCGAAATCGAGTCACTCAGTTTTGGTATGGTACACGCCACTTTGATTCCAGACAAAAATTCGTCACCCTCACTATGGCACAGTTGCAATGCTTCTGAACAGTTTTCCGAGGTTTTCAATATGGCATCATTCAAACAAATTCTGAACTGAATGGGACTGTGGCACTGAAGTTCTAGGAGAGTAGATGATGGTGCGTTTAATGTTGCCGCCAAAACCGACTCTTCTTGGACAACCTTCCCGCATTTCATAACGCAAGAATAAGCAGACGTCAAGAGTGGCAAGTCACCGAACACGTGCCGAATCAATACAGGATACTTATCTTCCTCATCAATTAAATCTTTAGCTTCCAGCAGTCCTCTTCCATTCTCTTCACTTTCAAAAATCCTGTAAAAACAGCCTGTCTGGGAAATGTCTATCAAAACATTGTCGTCCTTCTCATCTGCACAGACGAGAAATTTGTCATTGGATTGAGTATGGCCGTCGTTTCGAATTTCACGATATTTAGACTTTATTTGGTCTTTTTGTTTACCTTCTCCCTCGTAAAGCCCTCTTACTGTCAAAGTTTCTCCACTTTTTACATGTCGTCTGATTACTTTAGATCCACTACCATCTGACAATAAAGACAAGCAACTCAAACTCTTTGCCGTTAGAAACTGGTCGGCTGAGCTTTCTATCAATGTCTCTAAAGTGGTATCGGGTGTCGCCTTTTCAGTTGGGCTATTTATTTCTTGAAACCAGCCTACAAATGAAATAAATATCCATATACATTATGATTTGCAATAATAACTACATATTTATTCTAATTTTAAAGATTGTGAAGTCGCTCAAGTACGTGATGCAGTGGTTAGGGCAACTGGTCTAACGTCGCAGAGTAAGGATTTGATCCTTACGTTTCGGGTTCGATTCCTACTGTTGGACGTGGAGACCTTTCCTCCGGATGAGACCCTCTAAACCGAGGTCCCATGTCGCAGTAAAAGATCCCTGTTCAATGGCCCTTAGCAAGAAATGAGAAAGGTCTTTGAAGCTCAAAAATTGAAATGTATGTCGAAATGCAACTTAAATGTAGTTCCGAGTTCTGTGATAATCATGTCTTCAAGTTATTTATTTTCGTCTACTTTTGACATGCAGGATAATTATATTAACTTGCTTTCATTCAATTCATATGTATATGTTTCTATTGTACGAATATTCTTTGCTTTCGTTGTTTGCTTTTGTAGGAATTATATTTTGTTACACTTTGTCGTACGTGTATGCATTCAAAGATATCTCGATTTTTGACATTTTTTTAATTATAATGTATGTCATTGGCTCATTGTGATCAAAAACATTTAAATGATCCCTCACCTCTCTCTCAAAATAGCTGAAAATAATGGTTTCCTCACACGCAAAGTGAAATAATTTTCTGAAAAGAAATCTATTACCATTTTCTCTGATAACTGAATTATACTGTTTCACCGTTTTAACATCGTCGCAAACCACGGCCAAAATGTACTCCGAATCGTGGCTTGGGACGATGACCCCAACTCTCCATCATGCAGATGTACTATATTGTAGTTATTTTAGCTCACATTTACAAATGGTTCTAAAAACATTATGATCAAACTACAATTTGTCTCTCTGTCGACTGTATTGTAAGAAATCTCTATGTAAACCCGTATTTCTTCTCAATTTTATTAAATGAATACAAGTACAATTATATAAAAATTTACCCTCATAATCTTCTGGGATGACGTAGTGAGGACGGATTTCCGTGATCTGTCCGGACAAGGCGTCTCTCTGGAGACAGCTCACTCGGATTTTCCGGGCCCACTTCCTGGAATGAAGCAGCAAGGGTTCAGCCAAATCAAACTTAAATTCTCCAAGTTCTACTTCGTTCGTTTTGTCGCTACATTTTACCACAAGAGGAAGTTTAAAGTTATCCACAATTTCCTTCAAGGTATAACTCTGGGAACTCCATTGCATATCCGATAGGCTGACTCCATTGCTGTGTGTATGTTTTAGAATGTTGGTCAGTTTTCGTTTAATCATTCGGAAAGTCTACATCAGAGCTCGAAATTCAATATTACTCCTTTTGTTGATCACTAAATATCGACAAAGTTATGGTTCCTCTCTCTGAAGTTGTCGGTTTTTTTAAGTTTCACCTGAATAAATCGGTCTCCTGAAACGCCTGGTCGAGCATGTTTTTTGTGTGCATTTTTAAAGTAAATACCTGTATCATGAAATTAGCATATGTATACATACTTCCTATCAGTGTATCGGTATAAGAAATAAATACACATCATATCGCACACACTACTTTTGTACCACTTTGATGGGCCAGCCTTTTCTTGGGGGAAATCGTTTAATAGATATAGGATAGAGATAAAGCGGCAAGGGTGACAATTATTTGACAATTTACTTTGGTTATATAAATACGTCATCAGATCTGCGTTTGGTTTACACGGAGTATATACATATAATGGAATAGAGTACCAATTTTGTGTAGTGAGTTGTTTTAGATATTAAGCATTCCCGGATCGCACTCATACATGAAAACAATTGTACATGATTAGCTGTTACACAATACCACATTAGTCTCCTTCAATGTTTTTGTGCTGCATCCGGTCTATGATGCAGTATGTTATGATCCATATTGTCTCCAGTCTATTTGACTGACGGCTAGCACAACCAGTAGACCATTTTTTGAGTCCATTTTATTTTCAAAAGACTTCAGTTTTTCAGCAGTGCGCAATTTTGCATTTGGTTCACATTACGAAGCGCTTACTAGTATATGTCTGCAGCTAGACAGGCATCGTCGCCAATTACCTTATCCAAAATAAACGATCCTATCCCATTCTGGCCGTCCGGGTAAGAGACAGCTATAGGCGGACTCCGTGGCTTTAGACGATGCCAGACAGGGTCATCATCATCATTATTCTGGTAGGAGCTCCCTATATGCGGACTCTGGACTGTGGCTAAGACGATGAGACAGTGTTTGCTAATCACTCTACTTTTTTTTTCATTTGACATCAAACACTTGTTTGAAGTGTGTATATATTAGTAAACCAAATTAAAAGTCACTCAAATGTGTCTTAAGGATTTAGTCTATTTCTTTATGTGAACGACTATCTACTAAATACATTTTTCTCCCCTGTAAATATGGCGTGATGCTACAAAAACGTGCTAAAATTTTCATCTCAGTTCTGGAGAGTATTTTAATCAAATCATTGTTGATAATGAGTTTTCTGAATAATAAGGAGATAAATGAGTTATCTGTCTCAGCAGAAATGAAATGAACATTATTTAAGCTCAAAAGTCCATTAAACAATACAAACTATGAAGCAGAGCAAACATGGACCTCTAAAACATCAGAGGTCGGATCAGGTGCCATGGAGGAGTGAGCATCCCTTGCCGACCGCTTATATCCGCTGTGTTCATGATCAGGAAATAACGGGAAAATCCGTCAACAATTCAGGGTGTAAATAATTGCCTAACAATAAGTATAAAAAAAACGTCAGCTAACATTTGATTTAATGATAGATTGTATTTGTTGACAAGTTCAAACGTATCGACCATAGAACGTACGAAATAATGACTTTAAACGAGACAGTTGATATTTTTGTTTCATCAACTTGTTTGTCAATATACTACAATAGTTTGTATGTAGAGCATGCTCTTGCATATCGAATTAAATGGGAAATATAAACCCCGCGTGCAGGTGATAAAGGAATATTGCTGCAATACAATGAAGCGCAGTGAAGTGGTAAAATTCTCCGTTTGGATGAAAAGTTCTGAGTCATGTTTTGAAGGTCAATTATAACATAATGACACGCCCATATTTTTAGAAACGAGAAAGTAATATTCGTCGTAGTTTTAGGACATCCCATTCTTCGCGACAAGCATCATGAGTTACACTGAAATGGAGCTTTAAAAAAATAGAAGAGGGAGTTAGATACTCCCCGCTTCTGTTAAACACCAATTGCAACGAATATATGCATATTTTTGAACTTATCCATGTCTATTGAAGTTACCACAACACATGTTTTGGTCGAACACGTGTTTACTCGGTGTTTATTTAGATCCTCAATTTCATTGGCTATTATATTTATGGAAAACCTGTTCTACAGGTATTTGAAGAAACAACTTGACCGTTTTATCAATTTCTAAAGAAATGGGCGTGTCAAATGAGGACAATAAACACTCTAAATATAGCTCAAAACGTTCCATTCGAACGGAAAATTTTACCACTTCAATGCGCTTCATTGTAGATTTTTTCAAGATTTTGAACAATTTCATATGAATACTAAAATTAGCCTGCTAATAACGGGGCACAATTGGTACCCATAGGTATTCCAATAGATTGGACTGAGGCCACAGATTTTACATTTATGGAAGAGACATCCTTTCCTTTGTGGCAAGCAACCCTCTTCCATTTACAAATCGTGCTCATCTTTAACTCTCGCCTGTCGACATTGAATATAGTCGATAGTCACATGTCGCGTTCAAACCAATGACAATGCGACATTTAAGGTCAGACGAGACGTTCCTCAAAATCTGTTTTGTATATCTTCGTAATGTATGAAAAATATTCAAAATTTTAATAACATTCTGATCTCTAAACCAGTTTCTTAACGTTTTTAAAAAATCCAAACACTTAAACATTTGAAATTGGAAAATTATTTTTCTTCCCCAAAGGATTATATAAGAAAAATTACCCCTGGTTTCTTGCAGAAATGCCTGGTAAGGTACCTCAATTTTTTGTGAGTAAACATGTTTAAGTACTTCAATGACAAACTCTTAGAAAAATTTATCTATTATTAAGGAACGTCTCGTCTGTCCTTAATCGGAGGGAAAAATAAAGGAGGATTATAAGGCCGTATTAGGACCAGCTGCAATGTTGTGAAAAATGACCGACACACCGTAAGTAAAAATATTGGAATATGCAAATTTATGCGAACAAAAAATATTGAAAAATTATCAGTTGTTCAATAAGCCTTCCGATTTATTTACAAGATACAAGTGTATATTCATTTATCTGAAATTTTCATTTATAAGATTTTAAGATCTCTTTAAAAACCACAAAATGAGGCAAACTCTTTTTTCGGTCGGAAATAATATAACATGCATCAACCCATGCAATATATATTTTTTTCTTGATGCTTGCACCACCATTTGTACTTAAATCTTTTTGAAATCGCCTTTAAAGAAGTGCTAAAATTTAAATTCATTTAATCAGCGGTTAAAAAAAACATAAGGTTAAACTGTGCTTAATCACTGCATTCCAGATCGTAAGAACTCAAGTTATGGTAGTCTTGAAATAACAGTCTCATTCAGAAGACATCTCTGTTGTGTAATAAATATAATGAGGAATTTAAGAAAAATACGTTCAAAAATATCATTTTGATATTTTCATTTTTTTTTTCGCAAATTCTTTTCTAAGAATGCACTGAAAGTAAATCGGTCGATGCAAATATTTTTCAAACATCTTTTTCTAAGAATGCATTCAGAGCAAATAGACCAGTGCAAAATGAGATAACGTGGAGACCTAGTCTGAGGACAAACACTTTACCTTTTCAAAAAAAGTAAATTTCTTGGAGCTATAAGATTATGTCCAGGTAAGTTTAATTGTTTCTATTGTATTTCTGTCCTGTAATCTCTGTCTTACGCAATATCAATAGTAAAGACAGTTGGCGTGAACTGAATAGGCCATGAATGCTTTTCATAATCTATTGAACCGGTTCATAAAAACATCGCTCCGTGTTTACTGTCCCTGAATGCAAACTGGAAAGACAAGGTTGGTGCTTTTCTCAATGTAATTTACTTTACTATTTATATCCAAGGATTGCCTATTGGAAAGAATTTACTTTGCATAGCAGGTCTGGTTTTTAAACAAGGCATCGATCCGACTAGGGCACTTGAAAAGTGCGTTCTAAGTGGAGCGAATCTTTCAGACGTGGGTAGTTTGTTTTAATTGCTAAATCACATAAATGATTTCGATTTCCAGATAGACATGATGAACGGATCCACACACAGTCGGACCAATTCCTGGAGGGAGAAGAACAACAACGACCCGGAGCAGTCCAGGGCGCAATGGAGCACCCAGTCGTTTACAGCTGAGGACATTATCCAACAGTTTACTTTACCTCAAATTGTCAAGTGTAACCAGCAGGCCATTTTGGTCAAGCGAGATGTTCCACTTCCGATCAATTTGGCACAACCACTTCTGCTCCACGACAAACGAACTATTCGAAAACTATTGGCTAGGAATGTTGTCATGAATCCTGCAACGCAGCGTTACAGTGAAAATGACGAAACAGTGGTCATTCCAGCCGATTACGACGGTAGGTTTTTATAAGCATGCATATTCTTTATAATTTCTAGTGTTTGATAACACATTTCATATTTTTGCAGTTTTTTACTTTGTGTTGTTCTCTTCTTGCAGTTATATTTTCTGATTCATGACTGCTTGTTAACAATGCCAGACTTGTGAAAAATCATTTTTACTCCCGATTGTCATTATGAAAAAAAAATTGTTGTAAAAACAAACAGATCCAAGAAAGCAAATATACATATCATTATTTCAAGTCGAAGTTGTGTTAAAAACTGCTGCATGGACCTAAAAGTGTTACTTTTTGTCAAATTTAAGTAAAATAGCTAGAACCATTCAACTTTCAAAACCAGCATGACCTCAAATCTTTTCAGAACGACATTGAAGTGGTTGTGGATTTTTTGTGAAATGAGAGTTTTTATTCTTTGTCCATCATCTGTAGGTTTTTTTTGGTCAAAAAGGGACACCTGACCAACATCACCAAAACTGTCCTTTAATTGAAACCAGTTCTACAAAACCTTCTCAAACTATTGAAGGCTTATAAAAATGCATTGAAAACGAATCTTTAAACAAGTTGAACAAGTATAATTTTAGTTCTTTCTTGCAATGAAGATTTACTAAGATCATCTTTTCACAACTGCCATTGAAAGTTCAACAAATCTAATAGAATTCATACACATAACATGGGGAATGGAGACAAATACTGTAATATTATTTAAGAAGGTATATAACACATTAACAGTTTGATTAATTTGGTCAAGAGCCAATGTACGTTTTCATTATTCATAGAGACTATGAGCTCTAACAACACCAGTCGTGTCATGGTGATGATTAGGGTGTTCAATCGATTGAAATAGAAAGTGATGAATAAATCTGTTGTTTTTTTGTTTTGTTTTTCGTGAAGTTATATTCCATTGTATGAAATGAGTATGATGTAAGTTAGTAGCAATACACATAGATCTGATCATTAAGCCTACAAGTCATTGAATTATACTGTCAGGTCTAAAACATTCATGCACATTTTTTTCACTCTCACATTTCACATTATGATGTAAATGTTTTCCCCAAATTCACTGAAAAATATTTTGGTCGACTGAGCTCATAACAAGTCTTGTAAATTGCTGTGGGATCGAGTGGATATTAATATATTGAAGAGTATACCATCGCCCATTCACCAATTAAATCCAAATGAATAAGTTGTTTTTAAGAAGAAAATGTTTCAGAAACGTGAATTTACCCACTGATTTCATGTGTAATGATTTTGTGGTCAAGCCTTTAAAAAATTTAAATAAAATCTCTGTTAATAGGCAAAATCCTGGTGAGTTTAGGACAAATTGCTTTATATTGTATTCTGTGAAAGAGTTAAACTATTTAATAAATATCTCTAAAAAGCGCATCCCTGAAGGCAACAGATATTTCAATGCAAAATATTTAAAAACATGTTAAGCATGTCTTTTCGACTCCATGAGTGCTAAATTAAATGTCCGTAAGGACACACAGACAACGAAGGTGACTGACATTAGGTCAGTAAGGTTTAATCCACCTTATACCGGTATCAAATCCAATTCTAACACACAAGTCTGAAGAAGAAAACTATGATAAGATTTAAACGTCCATGTGCTTTAAAAAACTAATATAACACTAGAATTTCACAACTTAATAATATTAATAATAATAAAAATCTAACTTTTGCATTAAACATGTTAAATTTTGGAAGTTTCCAGTTCCTTTCTTGTTCCTTGCAGGTCTTTTTCTGCGTTTGCAGTCTAGAACAGCCAAAGATCACACGTGCCACAAAACCATCGAGTCTTTGGCGAAGTACAAAGTAAGGGCTTTCCTAAATCTCAGCAAAATGGTGGCTTTCCAACTTTCAAAAAGTCCGCAGTCTAACGAACATCTCCAGATTAATTACACGCCTGGAAACGTTTTTCTTGTGGAAAAGATTTTCATGGGGACCGCTCGTGTGAAATCGGATTCCATCCTCTCACGCAAGTCCACTCAACTTCAACAAATCAAGTACCTGAAATGTAAAGACGAAAAGGATGTCGATGTTCTTATTCCAATGTCACAACCAGGCGAGTTTATTGAGGCTCTGCCAAGTCCCGTGGGTAATGGTCGAATGTCTGTCAATGCTGAAAATCTGATCGCTACGCAGAAGTTCCCCATTGTTGTCAGATTTCTCAGCGGCAGAAATAGGCCGCGTCTGACTTCCTTCTCGGGTCTATTTACGTTGTTGGACTCTTTTGAAGAAACAACCCTTTTTGGTTGCATTCTAGACCCTCACGGTTTCACGATGCTGGAACTTCCGGTTTCATCTCCTTTGACCTTTCAGTTAGCACTCAATACGCACGATCTGTATTCGCACCCTGTGGTCAAAAAGGCTTTGCGCTTATGTGACGCAAAAGGACATGCTTATTTCAGAGAACTGAAGTATAAGTTTAAGTTTGCTCAAAGAATCCTTCAAATTAGTGGGAAGAAAATTGAACCGGAAGACGAAAATGACCCTGGCGATCCACCAAGTGCTGCAAATTCTGCCAAATTTGGAGTGACAACCACCTACATTTACCTGTAAAATCTACTTATATTCCTTTCATGAATTTGGCTTCATGGATATGGTAATATGTTGTAAGATATGTATTTGTGCATAAATAGTCCTCCTCCCAAATATTAAATTTATCACAATAATATCGTGTATGTATTTAAAAGTGATATTGTGTATATATTTAAAACTGACACTATTATATATTTTGTGCAATAATAATGTATGTATATAATATAAATAGTATATAAGGACTATTGAGTAAAATGAGTTCATTTACAGTACACAAACAGGGTAACTTTTTCTAACCACGACATGCGAAAATGTTAATGACGTTTATTGTGGCATGTAAAAATCGTATTTCATTAAACAGTCATTATTCTGAGAGGGTTTAGAGTTATATTTACTTTTTCCATTTCTTTGGTATTTACTCAAGAAGGAAAGATTAATTCAGATTCAAGTGTATTGACATTAATCATTGGTCCTCAATATTATAGGGCTTGGTATTTTCTCTTTTAGAGCATTAACTTAACGTGTGGTTAAAGAATAATCTCGACCAAAACATTTTTATTTTGGCGAGGAATTAAACATGTGATAAGGATAATTCTCGAAGGTTTGATGTCCATGCAGAGATTGGCATATTACATAGATGTAACTAATGTTCAACTCTTGCTTGCAGAATCCCAGAATACATCTAACGCAATGTTTCGTGCGTTTTGTTCAAATGCATCTCTATGGAACGCCGTCACTGCCTTATAGCATAAAACTATGCATTCATTATGTCAATCTATCATAACGTGATGTGAACATATCTTTACGTTATGTCAATTTTTTATGGGGTGATGTAAAAATATCTTTACATCATGTCAATGCTGCATTACATGAAGTAAACACATTCTTCCATTATGTCAGCACTTTATAACTTGAAGTCGGAAGTTCATTATGTGAAGTGAAAATATGTTTACATTGTGTTAAAACTTTATTACGTGAAATGAATGTTTCTTTATATTATTTCGTTTCTTTAATATGTTAGGTCAAAATTGCAATACGTCAAGTAAATTGTGTTTTATAATTAAACTTATCATTACATGAAGTCAAAAGTCAATTCCTTTTTGAGAGTGTATATGTCTATTATGTCAAAGCATTATTACGTGATATGGATTTATCTTTATCTGACGGCGAGAGCATCATGATGTGAGGTGAACACATCTTACCTTTATGTCAGTGCTTTATTACGTGGTATAAAAAGTGTATAACATAATGTGAACATATCTTTATAATATATCAACACTTTATTACATTATGTCAAAACTCCATTCCGTGATGTGGATATATAATTACGTTATGTCAATTCTTATGTGATTTAAAAAATATCTTTATATTGTGTTAACTCCTTATCATGTTGATTCCAAAAGTTCATTACCTGATGTGAAAATACATTTACATTATCTGAAAGCTGTATATCTAGTATAATAATGAATGTTGACGACTGTGTTTAATGACTGGTAAGGGGGGGGGGATTGAGTAGGACGAATTATAGACACATAATATCAGCCCCAACCCCCACTTATTGTTGAAGTATAGTCCACTAGGGGTAATGTAGTATAACTGAAAAAATATAGGACTAATCAAAGTCGGACCCCCCTCTCCGAAATAGGATTTTCGGGCTTGGACAATTTTTTTTGGCTTGTCAAGTTTTTTCGGGTAAATAATTTTTTTCTGGCTGACATCCTCTTTCAAATAAATGCTATGTCACGGAATGAGTTACTGTAATTTTTTCAACCATTCCAACACCAGAATTCTGTTACAAAAATCCACCAGTCCCTCATCTAAATCAATTGAAAATGCCTTAATAAGCATGCATGGGCACATATTTGTGGCGCATATGGGAATTTTGAAAATAGAAGGGGGACGGTATAGAGTTGGTGACCAAAGAGGGAAAGCGGAAAAACTCTCCGCGGCAGGCTTTATAGTTTTATAGAAAAAAGTTTTCAATAATTCAGCTAAACTTAATGTGAAAGTAATGCAATGTCCTACAATGTAAAACTAATAAATTTATTAATATATGTATATTTTGGTGACTAAAGATGGTAGGGCGGGATTTCTGCCCCCCCCCCCTCCCCAACCCGCCAGTGCACGTGTGTTATTCGATCGATGTGTTTACACTTTAAAAAGGGAGAGTTAAAGACTGATATAAAAACTTATGACAGTGTCCTGAGTAAGATCAGAAGTTTTAAGATTTTTATATATAAAAAAAAAAGCAATTCAAAAGAAAAAAATGCTGCACGACTCATATTTGATTTATTTAATAATCAGATAAAAGTAAACGCCATTGAATTTCGACGCGTGACTTTAATTCACAGTCGCAGTGTTAAGGCTTTGCACGTTTCAAGATTGTTAATCATTTTTCGCTTAAAGTTTTCATTTAATGATGCAATTTCCAAATCGCTGAGAATTTATTTTATGACAGTTTTCTCTCCCGCCATTTTTAGTGCTTTCGGAATGCGGAAAATACGTTATGCTCATATAAAGGCCGAGGATACCCGTGTTCGCATAACGTAATAGTGAATCGACATAATGTAGAAGAGTGCGCACAGTATGACATGAGCATTTCACATCTGATATGAGATGAAATAGCCTAAGATACATGAATGCTGACAAGAGGCTTAGCATTTTTGACACAATGTAAAGACACGATGACATAACGTAATAACGATTTGTCAGAAAGTAAGGGCAAATTCACATCATGAAATTGATTCATGTCGTCATGTAGCATATTGAAGGCATAAAGTAGTAAAAGAATTGACCACATGTGATAATTTTTTCAGATCATGTAATGAAATTCTGACATCGTATTATAGCGACTTCATATTGAGTTAAAGATAAATTCACATCATGTTATGAACTACTTAGACCAAATAGTAGAGAGTGCACATAATGTAATAATGAGTTGAAAATATATAAAAACATTTTTACACCACGTAAAATTGTTTTGACTTGATGTCATAAAGAGCTGATATAATGCAGTGGAAGATTGGCGCAATGTAATTAAAGTGCGAGTTAATGCCATAAGGACTAAACATAATGTAATTGAAAGTTGACATAAGGCAATAGTAGTGTGTGTAATTGTCATAAAGAGTTGACATAATGTAATGAAAGGTTGACACAATGCAATAGTAGTGTGGACTAATGTCATAAAGAGTTGACATAATATAATGGAAAGTTGACATAATGCAAAAGTATCGTGGGTTAATGTCATAAAGAGTTGACATAATATAATGGAAGGTTGACATAATGCAATAGCATTGTGGGTTAATGTCATAAAGAGTTGACATAATGTAATGGAAGGTTGACATAATGCAATAGCATTGTGGGTTAATGTCATAAAGAGTTGACATAATGTAATGTAAGGTTGACACAATGCAATAGTAGTGTGAGTAAATATCATAACGTGTTGACATAATGTAATGGAAGGTTGACGCAATGCAACTGTTGTGTTCTGCTATAAGGCAGTGACGGCGTTCCATACATCTCGATGTTTCTATTTCTTACTAGATCAAGTCTTTGACAGTATGATTCCCTTTAATGCCTATAATTATAATCTACATTATTTTTTCTGTCATATGCATTTACGAGGGTATCGAGATCGCTAATATTAAATATCGCAGACATTTTTTACCACTATGACAATAGATACATGTATTATTGTTATGTTAATATATTTCTATACAGTGCAATATCGCTAAAATTACTTCTCGCTAAAATTAATTACTATAGTAGTTATCTTTCAGGCAAAATCGCTAAATTTGCGTCTCGCTAAAATTTATTTTAGTTTTATACAGTAAGTAGACATAAGACAGAACAGATTAGGTGAAATCTGTAGAACAACAAAGCAACAGACCAGGTAACATCATGACTGCAACAACAAAAGAGAGCGATGACAATGCTGGTAGCCGTCTACATTCCCTAGTCTCTTATTTTCAGATCCTGTAGACTAGAGAATGTAGACGGCTAGCCTCTAATGGAAAGAGCAATGGTTGCTTAGATAGGCCATGTAAGGACAATATATATACTTCTTATGTAACATCATTGAAAAGAGTCTGGAATAGAGAGGTTTGGTATCGAGAAGGTCAATGTATCAATGGAAGGATAGGAATACCACAAAATTATAAAATAACTAAAAAAAATACATGAAAGATTATGATTTTTTGGCACAAAGAAAATTAAATTGTTTGTTTGGAAGATTCAGATTTGTTCAAAAGATCACCTTCAGTTTGTTCAGTACGGCAAAGATGCACGTCAGCATTGCGAATTATCATCACTATCATCCATATATAGACTACTTGAGGAAGAAGGTGACATGAATAAAACGCAGACTGCATTGCACATCTTACTGCTGTATTGGAAAGCATTGACTTTGCAGATTATATTTTCAATAAGCCACATACGACAAGGAAAACACGATGGGCATCAAGTTTATGACAAATAACAAACCCCCCCCCCCCAAAAAAAAAAACAAAAAAAAAAAACACCATCCAGTTCGTGAACAAAAGAGTCCAGACGTTCTGCTACGTAGTGTTATCAAAAAGAACTGAAATGTTAGAGAATAAACGGGAAAAGAAGCAGCAGGAATAAAATTAAATATCAGGAAATCAGGCGAGAAAAAATCAAGGAAAACAAGGAAGCAATGAACAATATTCTTTTTATGCTGCTGAGGCCTGAAGAACAACCAAGGTGTGTTTGTGAAACACTGATCTCCCCATATGCCAACTCATGAAAAGGTTATACAATGAAGCGCATTGAAGTGGTAAAATTTCTCGTTTGAATGAAACGTTTTGAGCTATCTTTAGAACGTTGATTGTCATACAATGACACGCCCATTTCTTTAGAAAGTAAAAATAGGTCAAATGGTTCATTGGAATACCTGTAGAACAGGTATTCTAAAAATATAATATCCAATCAAATTGACGGTCTACATAAACACAGAGTAAGCACGTGTTCGACCAATACATATGTTTTGGAAACTCCAATAAACATGATAAATTCATAATTATGTACAAATTCGTTGCAATACGGGTTTTATAGAAGCTGGAACTCTTTAAATCGCTCTTATAACTTTAAAAATATCCATTTCAGTGAAACTCATGTTGCTTTTCGCAAAGAGTGGGGTGTCCTAAAACATTACGACGAATATTTCTTGTTTCTTGGG